TTAAAAGCTGCAGTAGAGGGGTTGCTGAGCCAAGCTGTGTCACAACGCTCTCAAAATGCGGTGCCTGTGTTCAGTCCTCAGACCCCTCAGCAGTGATAGCTCGTGCTCCATCTCTTACAAACAGAGTCCTACTTCAGAAGTGTAAGTTGTGGTTTTAAATGATTTTTCTGGATCTGCTTTCCTCAAGTTTAAATAGCCTTTTTTTTCTTTGCCTTCTGTTATTTGTAGGCACATCTGAACTTGTTTTCTTCCCTCCCCCAGTCTGATTTGCAGCTTTTGAGGCAGATATACTATGAAAGATTTGAATATATTAATAAGGCTTAAAGACACTTTTCATGGTGACCTTTAAAATATCTCAAGTGTGAACTAAGTCTAGTCTGGAATGGGGAGAACTCTTCAGCTTGAGATTTCAGAATAAATGAAGCACAGCACTTTAGTATGCTTCTCTGCATTTTATTGTGTAAAATAATGTAAGTAGTGAATTAAGGTCTCATCTGCCTCTTTCTGAGAAGCTACTTAGGCAGTTGTGACTGAGTTGATGATTTCACCATTCAAAAGTTTTTCCTGTTCAGCTAAATGATACCTTTTTTTTTTTTTTTAAATGTACTGCGTAGCTGTGGGCTGGAGTTTCGTTTAGTGCATGCTGCCTAGGAGACTGTGGTGCTTGCAGTCATCAATTGAAATTGTGACATGAAAGAGCCATTGTCTTTGGCAAAGCAGCTGACACTGACTTTTTTTAAGCTGCAATTAATTAAAAGCCAGTTGTGAACTGTTGTCATGTTTGAACAGGATTTTAAACCACTCAGAGGTTATTGAAAGTAAACTCTTCCATTATATCCTGTATTGTGTTTATCTTTTGTGACTAAATGAAAGACATTCACTTTGAGCTAAAGTAACATCCACATTTTGATGGGTATTTTATGTCAACAAAGCTGCAGAGGTGGCAGATTGGTATAGCATAAGTAGAATGATAACGGGGTCTGCATGATGGAACTGTTCGGACAAAATTTTGGGAACTGTTGTATTAGTGGAGCGTGTGCACGTGTTCAGACTGGAGCTTGAGCAAGCTGGCATGTCAAAACTTGTCAGAGGGAAGTGCAGAATTGTATGAAAGAAAATATTGTCCTCTTGGGAATGTTGGGAGGAAAACTACATCATTCAGTTTTAATTACACCTATTAACACTTCTCAGTATAAAAGGCTTGCTGATGATGCCATTGCTAAGCCTGTTTTTCAGGACTTTGTGTACATTTCCAAGTGAGCTGAGGTTTAAACTTGCTCCATGGGTTCCTATACTGTGATTAAGTAAAAAGATGATGATAAACAACCAAGTATCACTTGAGCAGTGAATGGCATAACCAAAGAGTGTGTTTAGTTTAAGGGATTGCAGAGGAGATAGCAAAAGCAAGTTAATGCCAGGTTTTTATTTCAGGTTTCCATGTAGTCGGTTTTAACTCAGGCTACAGTGAGGTTTTTTGTGCTTTCTCACGTCTGTTTTATAATGCTGTAGTAAAGATGAAATGGAACAACAATAGTGAAAATTAGAGATGTGAATGTGGGTGAAATGGTAACCAATGTTCCTTCTGCTGTAGAAGCGCTAAATTTAAAAAAAAAGGGAGAAGGAAGTGCCTGCCTTGTGTTAGTGGGTAGCTTAGCAAATATAATTTATATAATGTGTTTGTATACACCTGACAGCATGGAGATGGCCGAAGTAATTAGGAATGGGGGTTTTCACCTTTTTGCAACCTAAGGGCAAAAACTAGCACCGATCAGAACAGTGTTAAATTGAATGGCCTGTGGTATTTGAGATTGGCTGCTGTGTAGGGGTGAAAAGAGAAGCTGCATAATACTTGTATGAATTGTGCTGCCTGAAATGCAGAAGAATAGTAGATAATGTAAAGGGGCAGAGCTGGTAAAATTAAGCAGCAGGGGCTGTGTGTCTGACTGAAGCAATCAAAATGTAGTGAATGAGTATAAATAGCTACTCTCCCTTGGTTCTCATAGCAAATGTCTTTCACTTCAAAAAGATGAAATATGATGAAATACTGTATGTAACCTAACTTTATAATGCTGACATGGATGGGAGTGCTTACAGGTAGAATTAGTGGATAAAACAAAAAAAGCAGTGATCTGCACATGATCAGTGTCATACACATAGTGAATTGAAATTTAAAACCACTGGGTGTCTCCTGACAGAATGACTTTCACAGGTGAACTTTGGTAAAGCTTCCTGTGGAAACTGGGTGTCATATCTTCATTACTTACTGGAAACAGTTTCTTTCCTTTAATCTGAGTCAGGAGAGGACATGCCACTGCAGCATAGCCATGCAGCTTGATGTTTCAGCGAATTTCCCGGAATATTTGACCAAGAAGTAACTGGTAACACTGTAAAACCAAGACATAGTTATCAGTAAAAATCTTTAGTCTTGTTTAGGGTGCCACTGGAATCAGTTGTCAAGTTCTGAAGTTCATGTGATTTTCTGCTGAGCCAGGGCTGGGACTAAGAAAGCATTAGGCAAAGTAGGTCTTCAGACTCTAGGTATTCAAAGTTGGCCAGCTTTACCTAATTTTAAATTTAAGTTCAGAAAGTACTCAGGCTTATGACTCTTCCTGCAAGGTATTGTAGGAGGTTGTTCAATGAGTTTTAATTTTGGCTAAAACCTGATTATGTCACGAGCTGATTTTAGGAGGCCTGGAATTGCTGATACATCTTGCTTTAAAGGGATGTAGCAAAGTCTTTCTTAAGTGTGCCTAGCCCTTCTCTTTGCATCTTTAAAATGCACAGCAGGTGTTGGGAAATCCCCTCACCCTTTTTCTGGACTGAGCAGTTGAATGCAGCAGAAATTGCACAAATACATGCACGAAGGAGTGCCTGGGCCTTGTTAGAATGGGGGTGGTGAGCTCTAAAAAGAGGTGACGTAAAGTGATGTTGGACCTGACAATTCAGAAACAGTGCTGGATATACATAAGCAAGGTAGTGTAAGTAAATACTGATTAATTAATCTGGAGACAAGTAAACTTGGAGTAAACTGTATGGAAAAGTACCTTCTCTTCTGTGAACATCTGAGAGATGAATGATCCATATGAGATAGTGGGTAAAGCACTTACATTGGGGTGGGAATGTTACAGTTTGTAGAACTATAGAATCATTTCGGTTGGAAAAGACCTTTAAGATCAAATCCAGCTGCCAAGTCTGCCACTAAACCATGTCCCTAAGCACCATGTTGATGTCTTGTTCCACTGTCTTCATCTATTTGGACAAATTACATTAATAAACAGTGTCACTTGTTCTGAAATGAGGGGGAGTATGTGTATGTGTCTTGGGGGAAGTACAATGGTCTGTTTTGTCTTAATGTACATAATACTTTTAAATACCATGACTCACTGATAATTGAGTGCGTGTATTATGTCAGTGTCTTGTCAGTGTCTTTTCCCTATGGAATTCGAGCAGGTCAAGATTTGCTTTCACTTCTGCATGGAAACACTGTGCCCTAGGTTTGGAGATCTTTGCCCTTTCCTTTTGTTAATGTGGCCATAATGTAACAAGTGTACATGTCCTTTATTGCTGTTTGATATTTGACACTGTTTTCTTTTTTACACTTTCTGAAAGTACTAAATATGGTATCTGGCTAAGGCTTCCTTTGAAAAATGAGACAATGCCAATGACTAGAGAGGGGGAAAAAATTAAGTAGTAGTTCTGATTTATGAGAGCGTAATGCTATCGAGCAGTAGGAAGTAAAGACTTTCAGAATATCTTAGAGTGGAGTTTACTCGACTGTCACATGAGAATAGCATTTTTTTCTTGTGTGTTTTTTTTTTTGAGAACTAGTTAATTTACTATAATAAGGGCTTAAAACATGAGCAACCTCATCTGCAGATGTCTAGAATACTTGAATGTAAGATGCTATCTTTTTAATAAGCAACTTTCTGAATTTCTTTTATTTAGATTTTGTTTTTAGAATCCTGTGTTCTTCTGCAACTTGTATTTTGTGAAGCCTGGCAATCAGCCCAAGTGCTGCCATATCTTCCTTTCCCAATAGAGAGGGCTCATTTTGTTCCTGGTAACTTAAACTCTTGAAAAGCTAGTTCTCCTCCACCATAATCCTCTGAAACCTCTGATTTATAAGGAAGCAGAAGACGTAGCTATTTTGTCTCCTTGATAGCAAAGTGAGCTGAAATTCTCAGATGCACTGCTTTTTCAACTGAGTTAATGTAAAAAGTTGAGTGGCTGGACCAGTTCTTGTAAAAGATTCAAATATGAAAAAACATCTGGAGAAGGGGAAGTAGCAATCCTTGATACTTGGAGAGCAAGTATTTCTTACAACAGCTTTGCTGTCGAAACAAGTTATGTTGTGTTAAGCACACCCTTAGTGAAACCCTAACTCAATTTAAGAATAGATTACACAGTAATTACTTCTACCATTTGTATGGATGTTCATTACTTTTTTGCAGTAAAACTTTGGATGTGTGAGATGAGGTCATTAAACATGTAAGTGTGGGAGGGAAGAAAGTCCTGAAACGTTCTGTGTCTTCTCATTAGTGCCTGACACCTAAAAAATAGTAATTTTTATTTAAATATGAAGCCATTGACTTGTATATTACCTGTGTAAACCACCTCTAAGGTCAGCTGTTATTTTACTAGAATAAAGAACTAAGCAATAGAATATAGTGCAAATGGTTTTGTTCTTTAATCATTGCTTGGATGGGGTAGCATTTAGGAATTGCCTTCGAGCAATGGTTGCTTAGAATGCTGGATTGGATCCTGTGTCTGTTTTTCCCTGGAAGGACCCCAAATCTACAGATGGCTTTGTTCCTGTAATTTATTTAATGCATAAACCGATCACAGCACTTAAGTTGTATTGAATTACTTTTTTATTTATTTGACCCCTTGTTTTATTGGCATATTTTGTTGTAGATGAAAAATTGCAGTCAAAAATCCAATGTAATTTTAGTTGTCTTGATAATTTAATCTTAATTTGCTTAAATATCTTGTGTACACAGTGAGGAGCTAGGAGAATTCATGGAGATGAAAGGTGCCAACAGCCCTGGGATCCTTGTACTGACCACGGGCCTCAGCAAACCTTTTATGCGTCTGGATAAATACCCCACGTTACTCAAAGAACTTGAAAGGCACATGGAGGTATATCTTATCAGCATTTATGTTCCAGCTTAATGATGATTTGACAACAATTATTTTAAAGGTACATGTCAAACATGATGGGACCCAAAACTACATTTGTTTGCTCTTCCGTCAGCCTTCTAAAGTACAGGCTGCAATGGTTTATTTAAGATTCGGTGCAGTGAAACTTCCTGTAAAAACTAAACATTTAAAGTAAAACTGTCCAGAGAAGCTAATCATCACTCTTAGAACAGTCTTATAGGGGTCTTTAGTTGGCTTGGCATCGAATGTGTCTCCTGCATACTACCTGAGGCCCCTTTATCTTGTAGAAGGAGTGCTGTTTCTCACCTCAGCATGTTGAACACATCACCAAAATAGTCCCTTTGACTCCTACTCACCACTGTTCAAAAGTGATTGTTACAATACGGGAAGATGTTCAAGGAGCTACTGTTTTCACCTTTGCATTTTGTAGGTTAGATGTTTGGAGTATGAACAAAGGAGAGAAACAGAAGGCATATGGGTCTTGTCACACAACTTGGTTTGTCAGTCAGTGACAACGGAACATGCTAGTTGGTCTGTAAGGAATCATGTCTGTGACAAAGCTAACATGCCAAATAAAACTCTCCTCTTAGGATTTCAAAATCTCTTATCCACTAGGTCTTGTAAAACTTCTGTGGCTCTATTTAAAGTGTAAGTAGGAATGTGACAAATAACTGCAGTTTTACTAGAAGCGACACCCACCAGTCTTTGATATAAAACGACCACGAAAAGAGAGCAGATCAGTCTACAAATTCAATTTTGCAGAATTGTTTATTTGTTTGTAGTTCAGCCTCTAACATTTTTTTAATTAATTGTACTGGAACTAAACTTTTTATGTATGTTTTCTCCATTGCTTTTAGGATTATCATCCGGATCGTCCAGATATTCAAAAATCCATGACTGCCTTCAAAAATCTTTCTGTAAGAGTCATAAAAGACTAGATTATCTATTTTAAGTAGAATATTTTCTAATTTTATCTCCCTCTATTGCTTAAAAATGTGACCTTTTTTTGTAACTGTTTGTATAGTAAATTTTTGAAAGCCTGGAAGTTCATGCTGTTTGTAGGCAGAACTAAGAATGGTAATTTAGGATGGGGAGTTGCAGCAAATAGATTGTTGATGTCAGAGTTGCACAAAGGATTCTGCACCTCTGTCTGCCCTCTCATCATGCTTCATTTCCCTTTCTACCGGTGCTAACATAAGTAGTGTCCTGAAGAAGGGCTTTGTTAAACAAAGCAGTACGTTTTCTGATGTTTTTTAAGTGCATTCCTTCTCAGGTAATGGTGTTGGAGCTGGGGGAGAGAGGATGAAGAGGAAAGTGCTAGTGAAGTTCAGAAGATGCAAGACTTTCAGTAATAATTGGAACACTGGAAGCCTAATTTGAACAGATGAGCTGTCTGTTACTGCCTTTACAAAAGAAACCAAAACCCACACCTCAACTGCAACAAGCATATAATTAATGCAGTCTGAGTTACAATAAACTTAATGTTTTATGCTTCCTGTTAGGAATGTGTGCCGGTGGTAACCTGGCATTTTCTATTTTTTATTTTTTTTAAATCAGAAATTTAGTGTTATCAGTGTTCAGAAGAGGTTTGTGGATTCCATCCTGTTGGGTGCTATACAAACAAGAGGAAACAATTCTTGCTGAGAAAAATTCAAATTAATAGAAGCAGGTTGGAGACACTTAATAAAAATAGGAACACCGGGTTATATGTGCTCGTTGTTTGCACAGATGGCATGTGTCTTTTTACTGAAGAAAGAGGCTTTCTTGTATAGACATGTATTTCTGATAGATGTGTTACTCTTTTCTGCTGAGCACATTTGGACATACGAAAATTTGAAATATAAAGAAAGGAGAAATTTGAGAAACAACTATGACTGAATTTGGAACGGTAATTGGAGTCAGTGTATTGAAAAGTAAAATATTTAAGTTAGCAAAACTAGTTTATAAAAAATATTGGTCATAGTCATCTAAATGAAAATGCTTCAAGTAAGGTGCTGTCTTCTGTGTACCAGAAGCCCAACAATAAATACAACTGTAATGATATTTCTATCCTTAACCCATTCCAAATTGATGGAGTTAATAGAAGTGGTATTTTTCCCTATGTTTGTTAGGCACAATGTCAAGAAGTACGGAAGCGGAAAGAACTTGAACTACAAATACTGACAGAAGCTATCCGTTGTTGGGAGGGAGAGGATATTAAAACACTTGGCAATGTGATTTACATGTCCCAGGTCATGATTCAGTGTGCTGGAAGTGAGGTAACGTCCTTCTCATCTTTACTGCTGGTCTTTCCATTTTGAATAAAGTTCATTATAATCATTATGCAACAGAAATAAACAGAATGCTTCAGAGATGCTAATCTAAGTTAAAATCTGTCTCTGTTGATTTAAAGCCTTTTTTCAAAACCTGAAAAAAAAAATTTCCTCGAAGATGGATGCTTTCATCTGTAAAATTTATTGAAAAGTGACCGAATACAGCAGTTATAAATACTGTAAGATGATTTTTGCAGGACTGTTTTGAATGTGCATAATTAAACAGGATTTTTCATGTGTAGTTATGTTACAGGATCATTTTGCATAGCAGTTATCACAGTGTGTTTTAAATAGCAAATACGTTCAAGTTTTATGTTGTAAAGTGTCTGGGGCATACGTTTCTTCCTGTTTTGGGCACATTGCTCAAGTAGTAAATTTTGAAATGCGCGCTTGAGATATTCTGTTATTCTGTGATTCAGAAATGGAATAAGATGATACAATAGAAAGTTGAAAGTGTCAAAGTCTGGGGTGATTTTTTTTTTTTAACCAAAGAAACAAACAAACCACACAAAGAAAAGCTTGTACTACTATTTTACCTATGTTAAAATAATCTTAAAAGCAAGTGTTAACAGAAAGGAAATGTTGTATGAGTTACTGACATATTTTTACTGCTTGTTGTTCCCCTGAAAATTAAATGAAGCTTTAAACCTGGTGGGGGCTTTTGAATTGCAACCTCATTCAGTCAGCTTCCTGCCTTGGAACAAAGATGTCCATAAATATAAAGAAAAAGAAAAATGTTTATGCAACTGAATATTTAAAAGTTAGTCACTCGATATTTTTCTCTCAGATACTTAGTTAGGTGCTAAAGTAAATAAATAAGATTCAGTAGAGCTAATAGTGCATCTTCTGCAGTCATGTCTCTTTTTGAAGTCTTCAAAACAAATCATCACCCCCCACTCTCATTATGAGATAGAATGTCAAATGGAAGGGACTTCTAGAAGTTTCTGCATAGCACTACATCTTTTTGACTAGATATAGAACAGTTTCATTTGTGCACCAGCAATGGGGTTTGGTTTTCTCTTTTTGAAAATGATACAGACCTTTGTAAATGTTTACTGAAGAACAGGAACATTAAAACTTACTAAGGACTTATATTTTTGCAAAGATGCTGGAAATTAAGACAGTGGCTTTGTCAATGGATGTATTTGTTTTGTCATAATGTTTTAATTTAGTGCTTCTCTGTTTTGTTGTCTGTAGCAGTAGATTAAGAGTACACTTACTGCTCCTTCCCTAAAAATACCCCAAAACAAGACCACAATGGACAATTCCATACATGAAACCATCAAATTAAAATCAGACCAAAATAATGAGTGCTTTTCTTCTGACTACAGAAATTATTGATTTGTTTTTAGTACTTTGGGACATAATCCAATATTTAAAAATCTGATCTCTCCAATTTGAGAGACCACAGTCTTGATACTATTGTAACAGCATCCATTTAAATTATATTAAGAAATATACCCAATATGTAATTTTGTTTTTGCTGAAATTGGCCAAACAGTGGTTGTCATATTAGACAAGGTCAGTATTTCACCCAGACTGTAAAATTTTTCTTTTAAAATATTAGGCTGTACTCTCCAGGACATAGTATAGGCATGTGTTAGTAGCACTTTTCAAGTAGAAAATAAATAATTCTGTCTTCTTTCCTTTCTTTTCTTTTCTTTTTTTTAATTTCCATGGAAAGTTAATTTTGCAGCAAGCAAATATTTGCAGAGTAATCATGGAGTTGTAATGTTGATAGTTTTTAATAATGTAAAATGGAAAAAGGGGGGAGGGGACTTGTGATGTTGTATTTACTTTTTCATTTTCTTCTTTTAACAAGGAAAAGAATGAAAGGTATCTTCTTCTCTTCCCTAACATTTTGCTAATGTTGTCTGCCAGCCCAAGAATGAGTGGGTTTATCTATCAGGTAAAGTAATGCATGTACCTATGTGTATAAATGTGCGGGGGGGGGGGTGTTTTTTCCAAATCATATTTCATAGAAAACTTGGAAAGATTAAACTTCTGCATTTATAAAGGTAAAAGGTAAAATTCCAGCCTATGAGGTTGTTTTTTTTTTTTTCTTTTTTGCAGCTGTGACTATCAGCAAGGAGGGTTTTTTTACCTTGTTAGTAGTTGCTAATGAAAGGAAGTATCAGTAGCTTTTTAGATCTACACAGAAAAAGTGTGCTGTTGCATAGGTTTGTTAGTGCTCTTTGACTGCTGCTTGAGTCTTAACAAAATTACACAGCCCTTTTAAGCTTTCCTTGATAGGCATTGGGCTTTTACCATCAGTTTGTTTATATGGAGCTACATCAGTGTTTTATCTTTGAATCAGCAGACCGCTTTTAAAATTAATCTTTTAGTTTTTTTATTTAATGATTGTTGAGACAGTGTAGAAGTCGTTCTGGGGCTCGCAGATTAGATTCCCTCTGGATGAAGCTGAACTGGAAGGCACACTCCAAAAATGCACTTGATCTGCTCTGACTGTTGGAGAAGATCAAGTACATGGGCTGACATTCAGTCCCTAGCCCCAACCTAGGGCTAGCCCAGTGTAACACCACCAGAAATGCATACGATGTGGCCTTTGGGACCTTAGCACTAGGCGTTTCCCTCCACAAATCCTCTGCTCACTGCTGGTAGACACAGTCTTGGAGCTTTTCTACCAAGTTCCTTTTCTGACTACTTGTGGCTGTTACCCCACAGGCCTATTCCAGAGATGGAACAACTCTGCTTTAGTGCAGGAAGATGACTAGTGTTTGGGTTGACTCCCCTGTAGCTCTAGGGCATGTTTCGCAGAGGCACTTTACATTTTGGATGTGTAGTTCCAAAGACTCCCGACAGGCAAATGCACAGTCCATGACTTTTTGAAATCTGTATAAATGTTCTTCAAGTATTGCCACACAGGTTTGAGACATCACAGTAAAGCACCAAAAGCAAGGGAAAAACTGCAACAAAGTTCTAAAAAGATTTCACCTTCTAGAAGTGCTTCTGTAAATCAGGCACTTGAGCAGTTTATTCCTTTCTCCTGATTTGCCTGCTTTGAAGGAATGCTGAAGCTTAGTCATTTGGTGTTCCTGTTTTATCAACCAGAGTCAGTCACAAAATGTGACTTTTTTTTTTTTCTATTAAGAGGTAATAAATTCCAAAATTTATGTTTGGATTCCTACCTTACCTTCCACGATAGTAGCTGTATTTGTCAGAAATGGTGTTGCCTTAGGTAGTTCAAGTGGACTGTTGAGTTTCTTAGCTTTGTGCTCTTTCTGATTGTTCCAATGTTGATGGAGGTCCTAGAAAAGGCAGGTTCCAAGTGGCACGTTCAGAATTTCTGATGTAGGTAGATTCTCGTGTACTGATTAAAAAGGCAACTGACTGGGAGTTTAATGTGTTAAAAAGCAGTATGAAATTAAACAATCTGTGAGGTTTTATTTTGCCTCTCCTACTGTATGTCACATTTCTTCATCCTCCCTCCCACTTTATCCCCTAGGTGCACATCACTGTTCAGGAAATAAGAAAATAAGCAATTTGCTGTGCATTTGTCTTCAGCTTCTACTCCGAATGGCCACAGCCCCTTCTTAGAATTCACCATCCAACCCTCCATTGAATGCAAATCTCTTAATTTCCTCATAATTTCTTGTATGATTTTCTTATCACTGAGCATGTCTCAAATTTGAATGACTACATATTTACAGCAAGGTAAAATTATTTTCAGCACTGTTTGTGTCTGAGACGGTGGCTCAGAGCCACGTCTGGATTGCATAATGTGGGCCTCCTGGACATTTTTTCTGAGGTTCATGCTTCAGAACTCAGATGGATATGGACAGAAGATGATGCAGTTCCCTCAGTCATTCCCACAGAAATTATGCCACTGGAGGCTGCATCCTTCATTACACCCTCCCTGCATTTCTGAATAGTCCAGTTGTCAACAGGCTTCAAATTATCTGGTTGATAGCGGTGATATCTGCCACATGAGCAAATGGGGAGAACTTTTAGCAGTGGTAAACTGAAGTCACAAGGAGCACAGACCATACTTCACAGGGGGACTACATGATTGTTTGTTCAAGGAAGGGGAATATAAATGTTTTACAAGTTCAGTTCCATTTTTCTCTGTGTTTTGCTGGCTGTACCTTATCCTGCCATGTGGTTCAGGTGATCTTTGTCACCAGTCTTTTGCTTAGTGTACCCCCATATTCCCTTCCCACCTATGTCAGCAGTTCTTGTACATCTCTCTGTTGTGGATGTATGCTGTGTTATTCATGAACCAGCAAACAGGGAAAAACAGGGAAAAGAGCAAATTTTAGCTGCATTGTAAGTGCACATGTCCACCACATTTCCTTCCGTGGGGAAGCTGCTGCAAGAGAACTCTTCCTTTCTCTTTGGTATCTTGGGCTCGAGCATGTTCTGTGCATACAGAATACCAAATGATTTTTCATTTCCAAGCTTGTAAGAAACCTTTGTCCATTCTACAGTTGTTAGGAAAGAAGAACAAATAAAGTCGGTTTTTATTCTTTTCTCTCATTGGAGCCAAAATTCCACAGTATATAGTATTTGCTCTTTTGCCAGCATGTGTTGAATAGTGTTTCTGTGCAGGAGAATACAGGATTTGTCTTAAAGAACTTTTATTAAAGTTGCAGTTTTGGTAAAGCCTTTCATCCTGAAAATATTTGATCTTATTTATTGTTCTGTGTTTTTAAAGGGTCAAAAAGTTATCCTAAACTGACTTTTTTTTCCTGCTTGACTGGGTTTAAAATGAGATCTTCTGCAAATTAGTATGTTTTTCTGAACAAAGATTACAAATTTGAAGGCATTTACTGCTTTCCCCTCCACCCCTAATATTTCTGTGAGTGAATTTAGTAGTGGCATTATTAGAGAAATAAATATTCAGTAAATAATTGATGCATTTGTTTAGTGGAATCTTTTTTTATAAATATACTTGTTCCACAGACCTTATTTTGAGAGCTAATCAAACAGTTCACAAACAAATATGCTTAAAGAAAGTCACCATTGCCTCTAATCATGTAACATGGATGACCCTGAAGGTCTCAGTTTCAAGAACCTGAGGGTATGAGGAGTGATCACTATTACGTTTGTATGGATTTCATAGCCTGCATAGGTACCAACTATTCTTATTGAAGTCACAGATGTCCTTTGCAGAAATTGGACATATGAAAAACTTCTGAGATGTTTGTGTTGTTTTAAATGTTTTTAAACCCATCAATGTGTGTGCGTTTGTCAATTTACTATGAATGTTTTTGTTCAGAGCTTAAAGTTAATATTTCCTTTACTTGGTAATGTTTTTGTGTGGTTTGGATTTAACTTCAGTGTTACTGCCCTTTTCTTTAAGGGAAAACTGCCCATGACTGGAATGACTATTACAAAGCTAGAAGACAGTGAAAACCATAAAAATGCATTTGAAATATCAGGTATTGCCCATTAATATTTTTATTTACTACTTATTCTAGGATATACTATTTCAGACATCAGATGCTCTGTCTGGACAGAGGAAAAAACTTTTTTGCTGTGAGGGTGACCAAGCACTGGCACAGGGTGCCTGGAGAGATCTCCGTCCTTGGCGTACTCTGAAGCTCACTGGCCGTGATCCCAGGCAACCACCTCTAGGTGTCTGTGCTTGAGCAGAGGGGTGCATGACCTACAGAGGTCCCTTACAGCCTCAACCTTCCTGTGATTATACAGATTTTGTAAGGCTGCTACCCAGAGCCTCACTTGAAGACTTTTTACTGCTTGTCTTAAGCAGTTAGGGAGCTATCTTTGTATGGGATTCATCCAGGAATTTCTGTATCTTAATGAATGGAGGCAGTGGCCTTGGAGAAGGTCCTTTATAACAAAGCAGTTTACAGTATGCTGTTCACTGGAAGAACAGGAGTTCTAGAGACTCTGGAAAAGCTTTGAGCAAGAGCTTTCTTTTAGAAATGGTCCACCTCTTTCCTGAGAGAACTTTAGCATCTCTAATACTAATGATGATTGCTGTTGTGCTTATTTTGGATAATTTCTGTCTCTTAAGTCATTTGTTTCATCATATATCATATGTCCTTAGGCAATTTAAAGGACAGTGGGAGCAGGGTCCACAGAGTGGAGCTTCATACCTTCATTTATTTCCTGGATCAGTTCTGCTCCAAGCAGGTTGCATTAAAGTAAATGATTTTGACCCTCTCAAGTGGTTGACAGTATCATATCAATGCCATGAGGCACAGGGGAAAAAAAACTGTTGATGGTGTGTTTTTTGAGATGATGCTATGGAGCTGACCTCAAGAAGAATGTGATGGGTTAAATGGAGTTAATTGCAGAAATTAATTTTTGGTTAAGATTGCATTCCCAAATGACTTTTCCTCAACTTTAATACTGGATTCAGACCACTTTTATGTTGCCTTCTGAGAGACCAGTGAACTCTGTTTTATAACTTTTCGTGTATTGTAGCATACGGACTCAAGAATGACTTTTTGGGATATATGCTGGCTTTCCTGGTAAGAGTGTAAGGCTACTAGATGAACCTGACTCCTACATCTATTTCTTGATATTAAGGTTGTGCCTAATTACTAGATCTATGGAAGAAAATAGAACTTCTGTACTTGGCTAAGAATAACTACATGGAGGCAATGTCTGTGATGCCTATCTTAAGGCAACATCTGTTACAGCCTGGAAAAGTGGGATGCTGTTGTACTGAAAATAGAAGTTAAAATTTTTGCTTACTACTTAGAGGATATAAAGTTTTAGGAAATGAATGTCTTATAATTATGTTGCATTGACTAAGTTGTTCTTCTGTGATTTCCTATATGTTCTGGTATCTTTTCACCTAGGAAATATGATTGAAAGGATACTAGTTTCTTGTAACAACCAGCAAGATTTGCATGAATGGGTGGATCACCTGCAGAGGCAAACCAAAGTCACAACTGTTGGGAATCCCACCATTAAACCTCACTCTGTGCCGTCTCACACGGTAAGGAAGAGCTTCTGGGTTGAAGTGAATGAGCAGAATTAAGTTGTCTGGCAAATATACCACAAAGGGAAAGCATTACTTCTTTTAACCATTAGTAACAAGAACTGAATGTTGTGACTGTAGTTTAATGGGTCAAAAGACCATTCTGTTTTTAATTGTGGGAACAAAAAATGCTTAGATCTTGGTGTAATAGTTTAACTGGGTAAAAGAAAATTAGTTATCATTACTTTTTCTGTTTTGACCAAGTAATACATCACCGTCTTTTAAGTGTACTTAGAATAGTAGGTTTTAATTGGTGATGTATTTGACAGGCTGTGGAGAAACAATTTACTAAAGTAATTTCTTTTGAGTTCTGCATTTGAATTGTTGGATATGAATGGATCTAAATTTAGCTCTGTCCTCAGTAGAGAGAGAAGTGGGAGCAGGGCTGCTTGTAGCTATTCTTTCTTTAGTGTTTGCTCTGTGGTAGACAATGAAAATTGTTTAAGCTCCATTTTTTCAAAGAATTTAGTGTAAAAAATTTTCAGAGGCCAGCTGCAATAAACAGAAGTACTAGATAGCAAGTGAGATTATTTCACCAATCCTTGATGATACTATGTCTTCGTTAAGATAATATGCTTTCTTTCCTTTCCCATCATGTTTGACAGCTTCCTTCTCATCCAGTAACACCCTCCAGTAAGCATTCAGACAGCAAGCCAATACCACTGACTCCTGCGTACCACACTCTCCCTCATCCGTCACATCACGGGACTCCACATACCACGATAAACTGGGGACCGCTGGAACCTCCGAAAACCCCCAAGCCTTGGAGTCTGAGCTGCTTACGGCCCGCACCGCCACTGCGGCCTTCAGCTGCTCTTTGTTACAAAGAGGTGAGATGCAGCGGCCAAGAAGTAGGATTCTGTAGCAGGCCTACCATAGGAAGTTTTAACTTTTTTCACACACCACCATTTTACGATTTTGTGCATGTTTTTGTATAATATAAAGGTGATTTGACAGCCAATGCTGAATCAAAGGTAACGTACCAGTGCTGTTTGTTTCAAAGAGGAATTTAGTCTTACGGTTCAGAAGATACGAAGGCTTATTTTGTTTTGTTAAGTAGCATGTGGTATGAGAGAGGAAGCCGTTCCAAAAGCTATGAGTGTGTTTAGCCACATGGTAGGTTAATTTGGTCCTTCCGCTACATTTTGCGTAGTTTTGCCAAGAATAAGAAAACTTCAGATTTACATAAGAAGTTTGCATGTATGATAGAGTATTGCATGCTCTCTAGCCTGGTGGTATCTCCTGTTTCAGTATTTTTATCGTGCATTCTAATTATACTAGTGTAGTGTTAGCGCTACAGGGCCCAGAAAGTATCATGCACTTATGCCTTAGAACATTTTATTCTGCAAGTATGAGATGTTGACAGCAAAATTTTATTTTGCAGATATCTGAATTTCAGATTCATAGAAACTGTAGCCTAAACACTGTGTCCCAGCGGGGCCTGGCTGTGTTTTTGTTATTGTGGGGTTTGGGTTTGGTTCTTTTGTTTTGTTTGTTCGTGGCTTTTTGTTTTGTTTGTTTGTTTGCTTTTGTTTTGTGATGGCTGTGTGTGACACTTTTATTTTCTTTTGTAAATCCCCTAAACAACAAGGAAAAAGTGATAAAGTGCTCTGCATTGCAAGATTAGTATTGTAGCTTGGTTGCTACAAGAGGTTCTTCTGTTTGACTGTATTACTTTGGCTGTACTGTATGCTCTTTTTGTTATTTAACTTAAAATACTTTCATGCTTTCATGTGTAGGCTACTAAATTATCTGATATATTAAAATTTTATCATCTTTACAGTATTTAGCATACAATGATGCTCAAAACCTATCCTCATTTTCATTGATCTGTCCTGATCATTCACCTTTTACTTTCCTGTTCTTTATTTTCCTAGAAGATGTCTTGGGTCCTTAGGGTAAGGGGTAGACCAGCATATTTGAGCAGAAATGCTGCTGGGGTTTTTTTGGTTGGTTGGATGGTTTGGGTTTTCATTCTTTTACTTTTTGGGTTTTTTTTTGCTGTAGGGCTTTGTAAGAACAGACCTAAACTTTTACAAATTTTGGCTTTGAAGAGTATACTACCTGCCAAGCTTCCTTGTTAGGTCAATTTTTACCTGCTTCTAAGTAGACAAGTGAAATGGATCACGTCTCTTCAATAGTTCAGGAAAAAACCCTGTTTTAATGTATTCCTGCCTCTTCCCTTCACTCTAGCTCCCAAACAGCCTGTGTGCTTTTGCAGCAGCTTTTCTATATATTTCTGTTATTAGAACATATAAAATACCTGACTTTGTGTATAGTTGGAGGAAGGGTAGAGTGAAAATCAGCCAATTCAGGCAACTTGAAGGTGGCAAAAAATATTAAAAAACTTAGTTTTGGTGCTGTTAAAAGGTTTTTAGTTAGTAATTTCGGTATGCATCTTAGAAGTTAAACTTTTGAAATATTGTATAGAAGCTCTACTCTTTTTATTTTCCCCATACAGGATCTCAGTAAAAGCCCTAAAACCATGAAAAAGCTGCTTCCCAAACGCAAACCAGAACGGAAGCCGTCAGATGAAGAGTTTGCTCTGAGAAAAAGTAAGAGAGATTTGAACAAATGTCTGCATAATACAAGTGCTGGAATTAACATCAGTTCAAATTCTGTGAAAGTTAGGTGTACAGTGTAAGCAAATCTAACTTCCTCTCTCGTGTCAGGGGAGAGGGATACGTATCTCCAGAGGATAGTTTGTTTTATTCATTTTAGGTGCTTATGCTACAATGGCATTAGTTATTTTGTAGTGCTTTACTGATTAGGATCCACTGATACAGTGGATGTATGCTTGTGAAGTGCCTATTTCTACCTGTTTATTAGCGGGAAGTGAGGTTGAAGGTAGAGCCATGTAAAGTTCAGTAAGGTAAACCTGACTTTTAATACTGTAAACAACAATTTGAGGATTCTGTACCACTCTTGCAGAATACTTTGTAGCTATGTTCTTAAATTGATTATGGTAGGAGCTTCTGCTGAGCTTGGTTTTGGAAGGCTGGTTATTGCTGCTGAGTCAGAGATGAGTTGCTTCCGTGGTCACTTCTGAGATCCAACAGTCTTTTCTAACCTTCTATAAATAAGGTAATTTGCTCATCTGTAGCTAAAGAAATTGCAGAGCTTTAGACTGCTTGAAGTCAGAACAACACTAAACTGAGAGACTCTAGTGAATGTACAGAAAAAGAGAAGGGTCAAGATCTGGATGCTTGGATATTTTGGAGTGGAGTGAACATTGCAGGACTGGAAGAGATACTAAGCAAGTTTGCAGGCAACAGAAAACTCAGAGCTGTTGACTCCCTCAAAGGCATGGAGGTCCTGCAGAGAGACCTCAACAAATTAGAGGACTCTGCAATCACCAACCAGATGAAGTTCAACAAGGGGAGGTGCCAGATTCTGCACCTGGGGTGGGGCAACCTCAGATGTAGGTACAGACTGGGGAGTGAGATGCTGGAAAGCAGTGCCATGGAAAGGCACCTGGGGGTCCTGGTCAATGACAAATTGAATATAAGTCAGCAGTGTCCTGGCAGCCAGGAGGGCCACCCCTGTCCTGGGAGGGCATCAGGCAAAGCATCGCCAGCTGGTCAAGGGAGGGGATTGTCCCACTCTACTCTGCACTGGTGCAGCCTCACCTTGAACATTGTGTGCAGTTTTGGGCACTGTAATATAGGAAAGATATTAAGCTGTTAGAGAGTGTCCAAAGAGGGGCAGCGGAGATGGTGAAGGGCCTTGAGGGGAAGCCGTGTGAGGAGCGGCTGAGGTCACTTGGTCTGTTCAGCCTGGAGAAGACGAGTCTGAGGGGAGACCTCATTGCAGTCTGCAATTTCCTCATGAGAGGAAGAGAGGGGCAGGCAGTGATCTTTTCTCTCTGGTGACCAGTGACAAGACCTGACGGAATGGCCTGAAGTTGTGTCGGGGCAGGTTTATGTTGGATATTAGAAAAAGATTCTTCACCCAGAGGGTGGATGGGCACTGGAACAGGTTCCCCAGGGAAGTGGTCGCAGCACTAAGCCTGACAGAGTTCAAGAAGTTTTTGGATAGTGCTCTCACGTATGTGGTGACTCTTGGGAATGGTCCTGTGCAGGGCTAGGAGTTGGACTTGATGATCCTGATGGGTTCCTTCCAACTTGGTATATTCTGGGGTTAATGTTATCAAGCAAACACGGTGTCCACTTAGTTGTCAGTGACACCACTGTAATTCTTCTGTAGAAATTTGTGTGATTGAATAATCCAATTACTTGCATCAAAGACAGGGTATTTTGTTGGCCAGATCTTTACTGTAGCTTTTGCTTCTTTGTCCTTTGCTCATGTGCTTTTTAAGACAGAGTTGTGCCTTGAGTATGGGATGCATGAAGTGTCTTATGGTGACAGTTGTCTCTTATTGGCTTATGGAGGGTTGGAGAGTGAAAGGTTTTCCTCAGGACACTGTTGGTTTGTCTAATGTGTTAGTCTTTCTGAATGTGCTTTGAATTTCATATGGTAAAGGTTATGGTACTGAATAGAATGATCCTCTTCATGGATGTGCAAGTGGCTATTTTAGTTCGGGATGTTTTATCCTTAAAGGAAAGTATCTGTTGAGGAAAAAATGAAAGTACTATAGTACAGGATCATTTCAGATATTGGAGGATGGAGATTCAGTAGTTGTAATGATAGTGGTAAAACTGTCAACTTGCTGACTTAGCAATTATTAAAGAACACAGTGGGAGGAGTTAGGAGTTCTTATTTGGGGGAAGGAGGGAATCTGTAGCTTGCAAATATATTGTTCTACTCCTAATTAAATTAATAAAATATTTTGTATGTAGGAGATAACTTTCAATAAAAGGTGTTCTTTGACTTAAAGGTAGCTTTAACTCCAAGAGTGTTACTTACAAAAATCCTTACGGATTCCTAGTAATTAGAAGCTTCTGCTAGTGCTCATTCAGCTTTTTCAGCTTTTTTGTGGAGCTGTAAAAGTTTTCCATGGAGGAACTTCCATTGAACTTAAAGCATACTGATAGATAGGTTTGGGTTTTATTACTTATCTTTTCTGGAATCTGAGGGATTTATGGCCGATGTTTTGAGAACTGCTCTGTCAAATTAGCATTATAACAGACAAAACAAAAGAAGTAAGGCGTTCTAATTGAGTGCCTCACAATACTAATTTCAGAAGTGAAATATTTGTCCTGCTACTGTAATAATCATAATAATGCTGCTGCATTCTAACTACAAAATCCAATTAATTTTCTTACCTAAAAGAGGAATAGCCTATACTTTGGACTACCTGCAACTCTTAAACTCTAGGAAAATTATATCAGGTCAAGATAATTTCTTCAGAAGTTTACTTGACAGCTAATCCTGACAAATGTTTGGACAGTTGGCTTTGTTCTGGTGATAACAAATCACAAAAACTAACAGGATGCATTGGCTGACAGAGAACACAACTACATTTTGATGTTGAAAGTCGTTCAGATTCATGTAGCAGAAAATGTTCAAACCTATTTTTTTCAAGAAGGTAAACAGGAAAAATGCTTTTAAAACAACAGATTGTCTTGCCTTGCTCGTAGACTTCTGGTTCCATCTAAACTAATGGCAGAGGTACCTCTAGATTCAGATTGATTGGAATTTCACTCTGTTGCAAGTATTTTTACTGACTTGCCCCAGGAGAAGATTTGATGTGGAGCTCTACCTTTAGGAAAATTTTGCCATGTTAAGCTTGAATAGTTAGATATTTTTCAGTAGTGCTGATTCTATGTTGAAGTGTGATAAGTTTAATTACTTTACTTTGCACAGATATATGATAGTGGCGTCTTTCCTACTGCACACTGGACTGAAATTGTACTGAAATTATGCTGTTAATTCTGACTTTCATTTTCAATAGTGTGTGCTGTTGAAAGGGATAAATATATATATATATATACACACACAAACACCAGAAGTTTTCAATATGTCTTCTTTGAATTAATACTCTGTTCCTTGATTTCTTTGATTAAATAATAAAGTAATATGCAGATGAAATTGTATGCATAAATAATAACTAGACCATACAGGTTTTTTTCAGTGTAGTGACTGTTTTAGAAGCAGAGTGTTTATACTTCAAAACCCATTCTGTGCAATTTCAGATGCTCAGAAAATTTCTTGAATGTGAGGGTGATTACTCTGACTTGCTTTTTTTCTAAGCATTTCAAAACAGTATTTATCTTTTAAAACTGTTACTTTAGTTTGTTGAGGTTTGGTTAAAATAGTGTGATTGAGAGAATTTTCAAGGGTTGATTAGGCTAAACTTTAGAAATGTAGTGATTTGCAAAGACTTCTCTGTATTAGGAAATATGACCATGTTTAAAATTCTACTTTTTCCCATTGATTCTAGGTACTGCTGCTTTAGAAGAAGATGCTCAGATTCTTAAAGTCATTGAAGCATATTGCACAAGTGCCAAAACACGTCAAACACTAAATTCAAGTAAGTTAGAAAGTAGTCAAATGGGTAGAAATGGCTATCTAAAACACAAATTACATAGTTTGCAAAAAGATGTGTTGTGTGTCCTCAGGCTTTTGCAAATAGCAAGCTGGACCTGCAAGAAATAATAACCTGTTTCTGGCTTAACATCAGTGCCAAATGTTTATGTATTGGATGCCAAGGAGCATGGTTAGAGACTGTTATTCTGTCAGTATTTAAAAATAATCCAGAACAACAGAAACCCAAACTTGTCATGGTTTAAAATTGTACTAAACCTTCACTAGTGAATGAGAGGTGTGTGAACTGAATATGACAGTTAAACAGTACGCTTTTGATTAAATTTCAAGAAGCTGGTTAAGTAGAGATGAGGAATGAAGAAGTCATAATAATTTTGGAGGACTGTATCTTTGTTGTGTTCTATTTAACAAAGACTTTCTCTATGGAAAAGTAACCTAGACTTATAAAAATTTCTTTAATTTTACTGCCACTAGTTGTTTTTAGTATTAATTACAAATTTTAACCCCGTCTCATAATTTCAGGAGAAGTTGTTCTCAGCTATGTGTGTTGCTTAAAGCCATTTTTAGTTTCTCAGATCAATACCTAGCATATTGAAAACGTGTAACGTGCCTCTGGGGTCCTACTTCATTTAATCCAAATCAAGGTTGCCATGTGGAGTTCCTCTGTATTGTAAGTAAAACGTTGCACAAAGCAGGGGAGTCCTCCAGCATGTGTTCCATTTACACGAGGGAGGAGAAAATGCTGTTGGCTTTGTTCCTTTTTGCACTGTTGAATACTGATTTAATTCAGAGATCCTTGGAACACAGTATAATGATCTTGAAGTACTTGGCTGGTTTTGCTGTAGTCAGGAACTAGGACACTGGACATCATAACTTCCTGTCCACTAAAGCTGTTTCAACTTGCAGTATTAATCACTGTTACTGCTGTCTACAGTACTCTGGGCCCATTTTGCTTCCAAGCAAAAGCACTTTATGCTGACAGTTGAGAAGCCTCAAAATGCAATTGCAAACTTAGTTCATGGATGAACTAAGATGGATGACACTAATATGTGTCCTCTTACTATTATCACCTTGAAAAGAATGCAACTACTTTGTATTCCTATGTAAGTTAAAGTGGGAATATGGCTGTTGTCAGTTTGTACATTTCTACAGACTGTAGAAACTTTTGAGGTAACAGCAAAAGCCTTCCTTTTAATTTTTCTGTCTTGATGAACTGTAGATCTCCAAGGTGATAAAATTAACTACTGTTACTATTTTTTTATTAATCCTAATCTATTTTATAGCCCTGTAGTCATTACAGTAGTGTTTGTACACTTAATTTGTACAGTTAATTTGGATAAAAGGAAATGAATGTAATCAAAGTTCTGAAGATATACTGTTGTTCCAAACAAAATTAAATTGATGATTGCTGTTTAAATGCCTGAACTATAATCTATTTATTATTTCCAAGAATAATGTGACAAGAAATGGTTGGGAAAACATTTGCACTTGCATAGTAGAGTGTGTGTGCAGATATAAAATGGATATGTTTTTTTTTTTGCTTGCCTATTTTTTCCTTTCTATGTATATTTAAGAAATATACATATTGCTGTGGGTATCATTGCATACATCAGAAGTTGACAGTTTTTTATTTGCTCTTAGTTGCAGCAAGAAACAAGTTTTTTTTAATTGATAAGCACACAACTGCTTTGTTTGAAAAGAATAGTGTTGTTGTCTAAGACTTTAGGTTTCAGAAAACCGGTTTGTAGACTGGAATTGGAAATGGGGAAAGAACCAATCAACCTGGAATTGCTTCTGTAGGAGCAGTAATCAGTGTAGAATAATAGAATGAGAGAGTTGCCTGTCATCCGTGAAGTATGCTGTTGTTTTACACACTCCATTTTTACTTCCGTGTTAATATTCTGCCTGTCCCTCACAGCACTCCTGGGCAATTCTCCTACCTGCACCTTAATCCAAAGCCCAAGGGGTGCTGCTTTTGGCAGCGTCAGTTCAGCAGAGCTGTGGCACCAGTGCACTCTAGTAAGGTGTGGCATTAGAGGTAGCAGAGCAACTTTTTTTCAGTTCTTTGGGTGGGAAAGATGTGGGGTTTAATTTGGGGAGACAGATGGAAGTGAAAGAGCAAAGTTATACTTTCTCGTGCTTCTTGAATACTGAGTTTGTTTTGCGTTTCTACTTCAAATGAAGACTTAAAATCTTTTGCAATATCATGTGTATTGCAAAAGCACACCCACTTACATGTTTCAGTCCTTGGATATTGCCAGGCCTTTAAAATTAAAAAAGTGTCCTTAGACTACCCCAGAGACCTAAAGTATTTAATTGGGAAGATAGATTCAGATAGAAGCGTGTAGGAAGAGGTGCGTGAGGGGTTGGAACGGGCTAGGCAGTATTGCTGTTAGCCTCTTGGCTTACTCTGTGAGTAAATTTATCACATGGTTTAACAAACAACAAGGGGTACAGGCACAGAAAACCTATACTTTGGCAGTCCCCTTCAGTGGCTGCTGATGTAGAAGTCAGCAGCCGTGCTCTGCATGAGAACCTTTGCTTTTTTTTTCCCCTGCATTTTCCTCTTCATGGTGGTGACACAAGCACTTCTGTGACTGTGTCGTGAGCTGGTGGGAAAATTACCTGCTTGAAAAAACTAACCCTACAAAAGATTCTTTCATCAGAAGGTGTTTCCTTACCTGGCTCACGAAGCAGCTGTACAAAAGATTGTGTCATTACAAGGGAGGGAAAGGATGGAGGTACAGATATCTGATGGGGAAGGGGCTATTGCTTTTCACATCAGCACTGGATCATGCTGGCTTACTGTGTTTATTGTTCTGTGCCCAGTCACCCCCCACCCCCCGACCAGAACTGACACTGTATTTCAAAAGAACCTAATTTCCTCTTCAAAAAATTTTGTTATTTGAAATTCTCAACTGAGAGTAGAAGCTTAAAAGTCACTTCAAAATTGTATTGTAATGGTTCAAACATTATTATATGCTGAGTGTAATTTATACCTAAACCCCAAACAAATTTGAAAAAAAATAAGAAAAAAAACAACTTTGGTGCCTTTTTAACAATATTTTCTCTTTTCCTTCTCTTCCCATCACCTTTTTGCTTTTATTTCATGTGTTTGGTTGTGGCTATTCCTTACGTTCTCCTCCTCATCCCACCTCTGCCTATCCACATCCACCATTTCATTTCACCTATACATCCTTAGCATGGCAAGGCACTGACCTGATGCATAATCACGTCTTGGCTGATGATGACCAATCAAGTCTAGACTCCTTGGGTCGTCGCAGTAGTCTTTCTCGTTTGGAGCCTTCAGACCTCTCAGAAGACTCTGACTATGACAGTATATGGACAGCCCATAGTTACAGAATGGGGTCTACATCTCGTAAGAGCTGTTGCTCATATATCTCTCACCAGAACTAATGCACTTCTGAGCTTTTTCTTAACAAATGCTTGTTGTATCACAGCCTGCTTTTCTTAGATGTTTTCTTGCTGTTCCTTGTCTCTTTAATGTGATATTTTAACAACTTCTGAGGGAGCTCCTGAGACTTCAGTTATACCTGGTGGATGGCTCTATTGCCAATTCAATACACATACAAATAAGTCTTTCTAAAAAGTGTATATCCTGTTAAGGATGCTATTTCTTGAGGGCTTTTTTAACTGACAGATGTTAATTTGTAGCTCTGAATGGTCTTTTTTTTCTTTTGACTTGGTCAGTGTAGTAACAGGTCCTTTGTTTCCTTTTTTATTTTAGATACAGCACATTTTTATATTTTGTACTGAAACCATACTGGTTTGTGAGCTGAGTGCCAGCTATATGGAAATACCTTAGTGGTAGTGGTTGGATTTTCTACATATTATTAACAAAATACAAAGCTGGTAGAGTAAGAAAAATGCAGCTTAGAAATAAGCGGTACAAGAGCTGTAAAATCCTTCAGATATTCACGTATCTGGCCTATTTGTGTGGAAGAGCATTTGCTAATCCATAAAAAATTCTGGTTTTATGGTGCTGTCTTTTCCTCATTGCTTAAAACGTTTATATGAAGGACCTCACTGCTCTCCCCCCACCCCAGTCTGGCAATTGTCATGAAAACCTGGCAGTCCATGCTCATTACATGCAGTGTTTTGATAATCTCATGTTACCTGTGGTCATACTGTCACTTTACTGTATGCAGTAGCGTGGCAGAAAGCAGGGTTTAGATGTTTACTTGCCTGTTAAAATACACAGCTGCCAACTCTCAATTGACCATTCTTCAAAAGACGAGATGAAAATGGTTCCCCTGATGGAGGCTCCAGTGTTCAGCATCTGAAACTCTAGGTACAACTGTAATCAAATTGGCTTGTTTGAAGTTCTGAATAATAGAATGCTTGGCTTTTGGGTTGTACTGTTTGGAGCATGTCCATGACAGATTTTATTGTGTCTTGTAACTTCTCTCATGAGCAGGTTTGTTTTCACAGCAGCTCTTCACTTACAGTCGTGTTGGCTTTTCAGAGAACTGTGACATGCTGTGCACAGCTGAAGGTCTCAAACCTGCACCAGGGGCACTGCTGGGGTGAAGTGTGTGTGTATGTGTTCTGTCTTGTTACTGAAGTAATTGGCATCAAAACAAAAATTACTTGTTTTCTAAATCTTTTTTAGCATTAGGGAAAAGTATGATGAACGTGATGAGAGATCAGAAACAGTTCTCAGTTTCACTAGGGTTCCCAAGTGCAACTCCCTTACCCTTTTCACATAAGCATGTTATCCAGAGTTCAGATATTACTCTGTGAACAAGTTCAGAATAATCATGATGCAATTAACTGCAGCCTGGCAACTTGATCACACTGTTTAGAAGATAATCAATACCTTTCTGCAGGTTACACGATCAGAAAGTTTGTAATTGCTAGTAATTGTTAGTAATTGCTAGTAATTGTTAGTAATAGGCATGCATGGTTCCAGAAGGTGGTCAGTGTGGACAAGATATTTCAAAGCAGCTCATGTCTTCAGATCTGCATTCAGTCTTGTTTGATGATGTGTTTTATCCTCTCTTACTATTGTTGGCATTCAGTAATGTGACTAACTAAAGCAGTGGTGCTTACAAAGGAGAGTTTTCAGGGCTATGTTTTACTACTGGTCATGTATTTATGTAATGACCAGGAACGTCTGTATGTTGAATCTTTTTTAAATGGAGGAGTGTTGCTTAGAGAAACGAGATAAGTATGTGTGCTCCATGCCATTTCACAGCGCATTTGTAACACACTTCACTCCCCTCTTCCTTTCAGTCAGTTTTTGTTTTGTTGGTTTTTGTTGGTTTTGTTGTTTGTTTTTTTTTTAATAACATATATGGAAAGTATGGATTTTTGCCCTGTTTCTTATGCTGTGGTGTTCTAGTTGAATAATGTTTTCTGCACTGGATAAATGATAATTCCTTTATGTCTGTTTCATGTTATATAGTGTAAATATGAGTTTGTAATACACTTGTTGCACTTGAAATTTCCTTATCACACAGAAAGGTTTGCTATCCAGATATGAAGATTTTACTGACTTTATATGCACCAAAGCTTTGACGGTTTACCACCATTAATTATTGTAGCATTTAAGTCATTAAGTATTATCATAATTAGGATCTCTCATATTGTCTATCCTCATATTAACATCATAGCACATTTAAAACCATTCTATGTCTTCAGTGTTACAGGCTGTAAGCTATTGTGAACTGATCAGGAGTATTAATGCAAAATGCTTAAAACAAACAAACAAACAAGGCAAATGTGGAAATGGTGGTATTCAGTCCGAAGGTTCAGTGTTTCTATTTTTGTGGAACTTCAGTCATGGTAATAACAGTACCTTATGTTTATGCAATTCTGTAAATTGTATGTGTACAGTTACAAATACACTGGAAGGATGGAGAATCTGAATTGGAAGGTAGGTTCAAGCCATTGTCAGCCCCTCTTCACATGGCTTATGCAGTGTTTCCATAAATTAGTATTTGCCATAAATTGAAACCAACCAATATTAATTGGGTGTTTTGCGTAATCTTGCCAAAACACAGTAATGTGTATATAGTGACGTAAAACATAGAAAAAATAATATATATTGTGCACTTCATTTGTGAATGGGAGAAGCCATCTTTAGTAGGTGACTGCCTTTTGAAAATGCAAAATGGATGTATATCTGAATGTTGCATTGTACTGTACAGTATGCATATTGTTTGTGGTTGCATATATCAATTAAGTGTTTTGTTTTCTATAAAAAGAACATCTGTTATGTACAGTTGAAATAAATTTTCCATTTGCTAGACTGTGACTTTAATATTTAATTATTACACAGGGGAAAGGACAGCATAACTTGTAACTTACCACATTCTCTTCTCCTCATGCCTCCTTTCTCTTCCTTCCTTCTTCCCAGAGGAATCAAATGCTGAAGTGAAAGACCTTTTTTGACATAACTGTGTAATCTTTGTTTAATGTAGTTGACACCTACAAGAAATTCAATGTAATGTGAAGTATGTATTCTTCTATATCTTCTCTTTTTTTAATAACATCTATAGAATGTTTCTCTGTTGCCTCCCTTTCCCCTTAAATTGATTTTATTTTCTTCTTTTTTTGATTTGGGTTTTTTTTTGATTTCTTTTTTTTTTTTGGATTGGTGTATTCTCAGTAAAAACTCTGACTGAATTACTGAAACAATCTCTGCAGGTCTTGTTACCAGACTAAAATTTTATGAATATGCTAATCGTTTAAATAACTTACATGTTTCCAAGATTTAATATTACAGTGTTTCTCTTTTTAAAGTAAGAGTTATCTTTAGTCTTTCTGCTTAAAAGATGCTCATATATGAGTGAATTTAAATAAAATTATAAGCTAATATACATACTAAAATGTTTACATCAGTATAAATGAAATGATCGCTTCTTTCTATTAGGAGGTCATAACATTATTTTGCTATGATTGTAGCAATTCTAGTTTTAGTCCTGCAGCCCTCTGGCTGGAAGTTTTTGTGTTGGTTAGTGAAATACAGGAAGTTTAGTGGGATGGCTCTTTATAAATGCTGTCTTAGAAATATCCCACTTCTTCAGATGGTGTATTTGTCTGTTTAAGCTATGCATTCTGTTCTTATGTTACTAACACTTGCATACCAAGTTGTGTTTTGGTCCACTTTAATTATTTCCATTTCACTCATCAAAGCATATTGCTATAAAACTGCCCAGATCAGTCATCTGAGTCATGTGGAGTTTTTTCCTGTTTGTGTGTCACTGTTAGTTAAAACAAACAAAAACCAACTTCGTGCCCAAACCTTTTTTATTTTTCCCAAGAATTTGCAAACAGTGCTGTATTTTATACAGTGAACTAAAGTTTAGTCTGATACTTGGATTCTGATTTGGTTTTTTCTGTACGAAGATATTAAAGGGCACCCTTTTTGATTTTGGCAGATCTGTAGCATGAAGGATTGTTTTTTCCAATAATTAAATCTCAACACACACAGACTCTGGGAGCACCATTTTTAGGATCCTTTTTATTAGGACCTCATGAAAAATTCTATGACTCTGGCCAGCTGGAGGAAGGAAAACTGTTCTTGATTGACTGGAGAGAGCTGGCTTTTAACTGAGGCCTTGAAATTAGCTGCTTTAAGTAGGTGATGTGAATACCCACCTCCATTTTACTGTTGGCTTCACTGGTTCTTGGACAGACAAGGTCTTGGAACATAGGCAGAGACTTAATATCTGGTTAAAGTGAAAAGGTATCTGAATTCCATCCCCCTTTTCTTATCTCCCTCCTGCAAAATTTCTGGACTCTCTTCACATGTGTCTGCTAAATGATTCAGACAAAAGGACCAGACTGTTTACCAGTACAGCTCCTTCTGAAGCTTGTTTTCTGTCAGCTTGTTGAGGTCCCTTCCAACCCAAACATTCTGTGCTTCTGTATCAACCATTCTTTAAAATGGTCAAGCTCCTTTAGAGGAGAGGGAATGAAAGGCTGGGATTGTGAGTTATGATTGCAAACAGACATCACTGAGAACCTCTGTGGCATTCAGTCTCTGTAGTATCTTCCTGTTTTGGTGTTAAGACCATACTCCAGGGCTAGGAGTGACATTCTACCTGTTTCAGACAGGTATAAAGTGAACTTCTGTCATGAAGTCTTTCAGCCATGTAAATATCAGAACAGGTTTCAGCTTTCCTTTTTTTCCCAGAAATGCTCAGAACTGCTTGCTTGTTTTTGTCTGATTGATTCGGCTGGAAAGGACATCAGACACTGAAAACTGAAAGCAGGGGGCTGTTACCCACAGGCTTATTCTTGTATTTCAGATGTTGCACCACATTATGCAGAGGGTGTTGCTAAGGTCTGTAGCCCTGATCTGAATGCTGGGTGGGCTGTGTTGTTACTGGCTTTAATCTGGAGGCTAAATTTGCTAACCTATAATTTAGGGCAGAGTATTGTCGAAAAGCATTGTAATTCTTTATTCTCCATTCTAGGACTGAGAGGTATTGATAAATACCTTTATTTTTGTGATGGAATTTAATTGATGGAAACTTAGTTGAATCTTGATTATAGTGGTCAGTTATTTACCTTAATTATTCAACAGATTTGTAAATAGTGGAGTTGTTCTTCCAAGACCCTGGATTTAGGAGTTCCCCATTGACAAGTTATGGCAACTTACTTGGCCTTAATATTTGTTCATTATTCTTGAAGTAATTGTTTGGGTTTGCAAACATCCTTTCTTCTCCCATCTACTTTACTTCCCCCAATACCCCTCCAGCCCACCCCCACCCCTCCCCCCCCAAAAAAAAGAAAACCAAATGAAACCCTGTTTTGTACAGCTTGGGGTAGGGGATGCCCATCTTTAAAAAAAAACCACAAAACTGAACAAACCCAAAACCGTCCAACTAGTACTTTTGGTTATATTGTCTTAAGGTGATTTAGGGACAGAATTGTTGGAAGTCAATTTAAATATAATCATTTGCCCTGTTTGACTTTGAGTGAGACCTAGTAGTGTCTCTCAATAAAATTCAGAAACTTGGATGCTTAGGCTTGAGGGATGGCATGACAAACTGAAGTAACTTGATTCTTCTGCCCTACTTCATGAAAATGTGGGGTATGTCTCAAAGGTGTTTGGAATTATCTGAGCTGCAGGAACTTCCTAGACCATGCTTTTTGTACAACACAATGTGAAATACCCACTGTACTGCAACACAACACTCTCTTCATGTCCTAAAGCTGTAGCTTTTGTGGAGAGAAATGGTTACACAGAGAATAGGCATAAAGGTGGAGGCACAAGGTGCAGTTTAGGGAATATTCCTGAGTACCAGTGATGAGGTGACTCTGCTTGAAGTTACTGCTGGATATGTAATTGCCAGAAAATGCATGTTAAAAAAAGAAAAGCTGCTGACATAAATGGTGCATAAAAGCAGGATAGTGAAATAGCTTCTTTCTGTCTTTAGAACTTGACATCTCAAGTCTGTTACTGTGCACATACTCATTTGATTACAGGGTCCTTTGTGACAGGCTAGATGCACTGTGTGTTTGTACCTGTGATACTCAGCAAACACTTGTGGGGTTTAGGAAGAAAAGGTCAACAACAATAAAGAAAAACCCACCGAAGCTCACAAAAGCAAACCAAGATTAAGGAGCAAGTGTGTGGGTTTTTGCATAAGTACAAACTGTGAGAGCAGCAAAGATCTGAGATACAAGTAAGAGTTGTATGACTGAGGGTATTGGAGCAATGCAGCCGAGAGTGAAACTTCTGATGTCTTGAGTTCCATGGTAGTTAATGTTTTATGGCACAGGAAGGTCAGTGTTCACAGCAGCAGTTTTCCATTGTGTGTATATGTGTAGCATGAGGTTTCCTTGTGTGTATAATATTGGTGAACTGCTTTCTGTGTCTCGGTAATATTAAATGTTTGCTGTGCTCTGCCATACATACATCAGGATATGCTGATGTAGACGTCTCTTTTACGTGCATGTGTGTGTATAACATGTATGGGACATTTTTTTTCCAAGCTGTCTACTCCACACTATTTCTACTTTGCAAGGCCCCTTGTTGCTCTGCCCAGGCAGACAGTTGGATGCAGCTCTGTACAGAGAGAATGATAATGCATGCTCCTTTTGGTTGAAGGGAGTCACGGGTGAGAAACACGTGACAGTTCTGTTCCTTTGGTCAGTGTCTCCCTTGGTGTGTGCTGAGCTGAGGTGCTCCACGTTGATACAGAGACCCAGAATGTAGTGATCTGGTAGCAGCTGCTGCCAAACTAATTCCTAATACAACGTTTAACTCAGTGCTGTGTGTTACCTGTTAAGCTAATAAAGCAGAGCAGTAACTAGTTAACTGAAATAAACATGAGACAGCTTTTTACAGTTAGAGATTGACAGCGCAAACAGGGAAGTGGCCTTGAGTTTCTTGCCGAGTTTGGATATGTTTGTTTTATAGGTTGTTTCTTCCTGGCAAATAAGTGGGAGTGGAAGCGTATTAACCCTTAAAAGATTTCTTCACTCCATAAGAACTTACAGCTTTCAAGGACAAGATTCTTTTTCAAATCTTCAGTTATCTTTATTCTATATAATTTTGACAATCACATACTGATACATTAGATATTTACTGTAAACTTAAGGAAACTGTTTTCTTCATTAGTCATTTGTCATTGTTTGCTAAAATAGTTAAAATAATTTTAACACGTAGAGCTAAGGTACAGTCCCTACAAGATCATTGCTCAAAACTCAAGACTACAGCTGTTTGGGAAGTTAGTATTTTGTAATGACTGTGATTTATTCCATTTTTTATTTGTTTAGATTATGTATTTTATCATGAACCATAAAAGAAAAGAACTGTTATCACAAAGCAACTGTTCAGCAACTGATTTCTCTGGACAGGCCTGTGCTCTGTAATACCAGATTATCAGTTCAAAGTGGATGAGATGTTCCTCGTTAATGAAAATTCATTAAAATGAATTGGTAGGCAAATGTACCCTGTTTGTTAAAACTGATATCTTAGTTAAAATATGCAAGAACTTTAATGCCTTATCTGCAGTGTTTGAATTCTGAATAAATGCTTAGACACCAATTTATTTACAGACCTTCTTAAAAAAAAAACACTTGTAACTTGTTGCAGCCTAATTAAATAAAGTTTCTAGAATACATACTTTATGTATGTATGAATGAATGCACATATCTGAGATTAGATTTTTCCAATCATAACTAATTTTTTCTAATCTGTGTGTTTTACCTTGATGTTATAAATTGTAATGAGTGTGGAAAATGTTTTGAAGATTTTTGAATGTTCTTAGTTTTTATCATCAAACTGAGGTGCTTTTAAAAACATTTATTAAATACAAAGAGTGTATTTCATTTGATAGGAATTTATTATAGGACTAAAACACTATCTGTAAGTGTATTTATGTGTTGTTCATACACACAGAAGTGTAGTGCTTATAGTGTTTCAGGGAAAGGGGTTTTAACTTTTGTCCCCTCACTGCTGTGTCGTTTGATACCACTATTCTGCTTCTCAGTGACAGAGTAATAGGTTTAGAGCTGAACTGTTTCTTGGATTTGTATCAGTGTGACATCAGAATCTGTCCTTGAGGCTTAAATCATGGTTATTTAAACACAGCTATCTCTTTCTCAGTCTGCCATTGTGAATTTGTATAGCTTTTACTGATGGTTGAATAGTGCACTGTTTGTTGAATGGTGTAGCACCCCTCTCGATGACATGGGAGTTGTCAGCAGTGCAGTAGGAGTGTCAAACAATTTTTTTGTTGTTTTAAGACTGTGGTTTCAAATGTAAAAAATGTGTCAGTAACTTCTGTTTGTGGAGGGAAGGGGGAAATGGGAAGTGGTATACCTTGGTTCTGCAGGTGTATCATGCAGCAAATGAAAGAATGATCTTTAAAAGGCCCCAACAATGTTTGTGATTTGCTCATTTTGTAATTTATTTTTACAACAGGTTCCCGTAAAGAATCAGCTCCTCAAGTCCTGCTTCCAGAAGAAGAAAAAATTATTGTAGAAGAAACTAAAAGTAATGGTCAGACTGTTATAGAAGAGAAGTAAGAAAATATTTAATGATTGATAGATTAAAGTAGTGAACTTTTCACTCTTCTTCCTCCTGGCTCCCATTATAATAGTGTGTGTATGGTATGTTCGTAGTAGGGAACAGAGCTGAGTATCCTGCCAGTCCTTTAGTTGGCCTTCATTTAAATATCTGGTTTCTTTGTATATGCTGTGCAACTTACTCCACTCATGTCAAGAAGTGAAATGCTTCACTTAAAAATAATTTTTCCAGGTGCCGTCAGATTTCAATATTAAACTGCTGTCATCTTTCTAATTAGTGTGTGGCATCGTTCTACTTTTTTGGTAAGGTGTATGTTGGAAATGAAACTACAGTTTTGTTCTACAAAGCTGGAATACAGAAACTAGTATTGGTCTTTAAGTGCTGGAGAGGTGTTTCCTGTCACAGAAGGTGGTAACATGTCCTTGCCTTACTGAATATAAATTGGGATAAGAGATAGGGGTGGGTTGTTTGTTTGTTTTTAACACAGGTTTGAAATTAGCAATTAGCTGTGGGGTTTTGTTTTATAGGTTGTTTTTTTTAAATTGCATTTCATTTAGCAGTTTTGTCTAATAATAAATTTAGTCATGTATTTCTGGAAACTGTTATAACAGATCATGTTCCTTTTTCATTTTAGAAGCCTTGTTGACACAGTATATGCATTAAAGGATGAAGTACAGGAGTTAAGACAGGTTGGTAACTTGCTACATTTATAGCAACACAGAGAACGAAAAGATGGAAGGCTTATTGTAAAAACAAATACGGATTGTAAGTTTATTCACTTTGACAGGCATGAACTTGAATTTTGGATTATTTTAAAAGTAAAATATCGTTTGAGGAAAGGTACCCTCTGTTGTGGTTGTCATCAGTCCTTTGAGAGTAGTGTTAAGTATTGTTTCTCTGAGGTGAATTACTAAGCTATTCTTGGATACTGCAAACTGTGAAATGGCAGAAGCATTAAACAAATTCAGTTCTGCTGTATCACCAGCAAAGTAAGCTTATAGAGGCTGAGAAATAGTATTTGCTCTAGAATGTATCATTTTAGTAGTATAAGTGTCTAGATCTATTTAGGCCTTTATTAACAATCCTACAGTAACCTGAACATCTCTTACAAATCAGTTCTTAAAACCTCTCATTTCTAGGGAGGAGAGTCCTTTTCAGTGCCTATCATGTGACCTTTTTAAATGAGGGTTTCAGGTTAGCTCTGGGTGCTGCTTTGTCACTTGTTTTAAGTGTCTAAAATGAGATGTTAAAAATACCATCTTCTTGTCAGGACACAGCTTGTTTAAACTATGTTAATGCTGCCACATATAGTCTTTGCTTAATGTATAGGTGAAAAAAGCACTGAATTTTCCTCACTCTCTAGTGTATGAATTTACCAACTGACCTTAACCAGTCTGACTCAGGAACTTGGATAAAATTCCTGTGTTAATTAAAAAGGATTTGTATTAAAATTTCTTTCGGTTTTGGGCTATAAACATGAATCCAAATTCTGTGCCCATCTGTAAGCATGCCCAGTATTTCTAAGGTTGTCATGCATGTTCCTTGCAATAGACAGTTGATGTCTTGCATACTTAAATTCTGCTGGTTCAGCATAATAAGCATGAGTATCCCAGGTTGGATTCAAATTTGACAGTGTTTTTAAAAATACAATTCATGTAATACAAGCAGCAGTAATAGTCCATGAGTACTCCCATGGCCTGACTGCTTTTGTACAAAGAATAAATGTGCAGCCTCACTGAGGCTCTGCACATCTCTGTGACCCTTAATCAGAAAGTCACCTTCACCTGAGCTTCAAGCAATAGCTCTCTTTTCCTGTGCCTTTCCAAATAGATGGTCTTGAGTATCTAACATCTTCCAAAGCCAAGACATATTAAAGCCTTTAAATTCATTTTCTTGGCTTTTGGGACTCTCGACTTAGAAGCATTTGTTGGTCCACTGCTGTGATGCTGCCAACCAGAGAAGTGGCAGAAATAACCTCTGAGGTGGCAGGGTCCCAAAGCCTTTATGGATAAAGGCTCTCTGGGACTACATAGCACCCTGCTTGGAGTAGACACCAGGCTGCGAAGTGGGATCCCTCCCATAGCACCTTCCAGAGGTTATTCATAGCTCTTGTTCCACAGACACTACACTTGAATAGTACAGACCTGAATTGGCAGACTTAATACATTAAATCTGTACCTACAGGAAAACAATGAAATTTCTGAGTTTCTCAACATACTTGAAGAGGGAATGGAGTTAATGAAGTGACAGACCCTGGTTGTGTGTATAGACTAGAGAAGGAGAAGCTGGAGAGGAGCCTGAGGGAACTGGTCGATGGCAAGTTGAATATGAGTCCCTGGCAGCCAGGAGGGTCAACCGTGTCCTGGGAGGCATCAGACAAAGCATCGCCAGCTGGTCAAAGGAAGTGATTGCTTCACTCTTCCTCTGTGCTGGTGCGGCCTCACCTTGAGTATCGTGTGCAGTTTTGAGCACCACAATTTAAGAAAGACATTAAGCTATTAGTGGGCATCCAAAAGAGGGCCACGAGTATGGTGAAGGGTCTGGAGGGGAAGCCTTATGAGGAGCAACTGAGTTTGTTCAGCCTGGAGGAGACTGAGGAGAGACCTCATTGTGGTTTTTAGCATCCTCATAAAGGGACTTTGAGGTGCAGGTACTGATCTCTTCACTCTCGTGACCAGTGACAGGACTCAAGGAAATGGTGTGGAGCTGAATTGAGAGGTTTAGGTTAGGTATCAGGAAAAGGTTTTTCACTGACAGTGTGGTTAAGGACTGGAACAGGGTCTTAAGGGGAATGGTCACAACACCAAGCCTGACAGAGTTCAGGAAGCATTTGGACAGTGCTCTCAGGCACATGGTGTTATGCTTGGGGTGTCCTGCACAGGGCCAGGAGTTGGACTTGGTGATCCCAATGAGTCCCTTCTAACTCAACATATTCTATGATTCTGTGATCACATCCTATTTCTGGAAATGTCTGTAAATAAGAGCTGATGTTGCCTCCTCAGTGGGACCCCTGAATTGCAGGCCTGCATTTGTTAAACACCAGTAGGCTTGTCTTAGGGCCTTATTTCAGTGTTATGTTCTGGTTGCTTCCCTACTGTTGCCAGCATCACCTTGGCCTGTACAGAATTAAATGGTGTAAGCATTCCTGTGGATTGGTCAGTAACATCCTTACAGTCCTGTTGTTCATTTATTTCAATATTGCCTGATGGCACTAAATAGTGAGAACTCTCTTGTTAATGTACAAGCAGAGTGATGGTGTTCCTTGAAATTCAGGCTTCTCTTAGACTGCTGGTAGTCATCAGTCTGGTTTAAAATTTAGTCACAGAAACACTTTCCAGAGAGTGTAATGGTTTTCAGGATACTCTTTTCAACTATTTATATTCCTAATGAAGCAAGTCAATTTGCATTAAGTTTTAAGAAGCTTTTCTGAGATTGTGAAACTAGTTAAAATCACAGGAGGTTCTTAAAGGAGATATTTAGTCTGCTTATTGTTCCATTTCCTTTCTCCATTAGCAACAGATATATTCTACTCCTCATTGATTGGATTTGAACAGATTCAAGATTATTGGCCATCTGTGACTAGCACTTTTGTTATAAAGGGCCCCTAAGTATGAATAGGAAGTAGCTCAGTTTCCATTTTGTGGGTTTTGTTCCACTGAGTGAAATAACGTATGTGTATGTAACTTGAGAAGTTTTAATACAAGTTTTGCTTTTGAACAGCTAATATCTGTTTTACTGAAAAGAACCTTCAGAGTTTGTAATTGACAAAGTATGTGTACTAAGAAAAGATCTGTCAAAAGCCCTCAAAACAAACTAGTAATATTTCTATCTCTGTTAAACAGGATAACAAAAAGATGAAGAAATCATTAGAAGAGGAACAAAGAGCTCGCAAGGACTTGGAGAAGCTTGTTAGAAAAGTCCTAAAGAACATGAATGATCCATCTTGGGATGAAACCAACTTATAACTAGTTTTTTTCTTTTTTGTCCCCCCCTTTTTCTTTCTATTGAAAGACCAGTTGTAAAACTGAGCTGGGAAGCCTTCTGACGTTAGTCAGTGTTGCATCAAGAACACTACAAAGCAGGATTTAACTGGATCTAGTGATTTCTTCCTCTGAGCATACAGAAACAGTCAAGCCATTTTCTGAAGCAATCTGTGCTTTAAGTGTGGAGACCATGGATCCTGAACTCTACTAAACTTAATTTGTTTGCATCTAAATTACCTCATTTGCAGAAAGTGCAGCACCTGACTAAAAGTCCATGTTTTTCAGTGGCTTTTTAATTAAATATATATTTTTCATGTAAATAGCTGTAATTTTGAATGCATATGTGATTGATGTATCAGGGCTGATATGTTTGGGGTTTTTCTCTTGTTACTACAATGGTCACAAGTGTTAGAAATGATGGCAGTACTGTCTTACCTAAGAATGGTATGAATTATGAATTAGTTCCAAATTACCCACTCATCACACATGCAAATTTAAACCCCTCTTTTTCCTATTGACCACTATACTTAAATCCTTGACTGTTACTTGTCTGTCCATACATTTTCAAACAGTTTACAATTCCTTAAGAACGGTATTAAAATACAGAAAATTGTTTATTGACAGTAGAAACAATTTTTAACAAAACTAATGTCCACAACTTACATTCACATACACTTGTTTGGCAGACTAATCTGTTGTGCTTTGGCCACCAGAAGACTGATGTACTTGCCTGCTTTTTATGATTGTGATTTTTAGGTGTTTGTGTACTACATTTTCTGTTGTTGTGCTTAAACATACAACTGGCTGATAATTTAATGGATCATACTGTTTGTTAAACAAAAAAAAAAAATCAATCTAATCCAGAATTTTGTGAATAAATCATTGCTATTTATATTTTATGGTCACAGCAGTTAAATTTTAGCTAACCTTTGTGCATAAGACACACAGGCTAGACCAAATTTCTGTTTTTATACCACTGTAAGACTCTCTGGAGTTCCCATACTGTGGAAGCACTCATTTCTTTCCTACCCTATTTCCTCAACATGTTGCTGGTTTCTGTCCTACTAGGATTCAAATGGAAAGAAATATGAAAATAAGATTTTTTTATCTTTTAAATCATACTGTAATTTTTACTTTGCACTGCTGACAGATTTGAAAATATGTAAAGGAACATTAATTCCCAAGTCTGATAGGTGCAATTACTGCGGTTTCTTGTATTTGAAATAGGAGATGCTACATCACTGCAAATGGTGAGCTTAAAATGGAGTACTTAAAATACTCATCCCATTAAAGCTCTTTTTTTTTCATAGATTTCATCAAACTTTGGGTTCAACTCCAGATGGTGCAGTTTTCTGAGGGGTTTTTATTCAACTGACGGTCAGAAGTACAGGTATAGCACAGACCTGAGTGGCACCTTTTACAGTCCTGATTTTCTAGTGCCCTTTAACTCCTGTTAAATGTAATGCTCAGACTTGAGCAAATGTTTATATGAACTTTAGTAAGTTGGAGCAAGGGTGATTAGGGTTGTAAGAACTGTCATGCACATTTTAAATCTTTTGGAAAATCTATTTTTAAAGCTATCCACCTTTTTCAGCCAAGAACAGCTTTTTTAAATAGGAAATTATGTCAGTTATTGCATACTTGTGAAACAATTCTGTGGGAATGGATACTTGATAATCTGAATAGACAAGTTGTCTGTTTTAAAAAGCTGAATATATTTGTAGGTATTTTGTGTTCTTGCAATTTAAAAATGTTTTCCTTTAATCCTAAAGGAGGAGGAAATGAAAAATGTCTACATTATCAGAGTTACATATATTCACAGAACTTTAAACTTATTTTAATTCTCTATACCAAAATCTTTTCTTGATGTTTGCAGTTGCACGAAAGTGTGGACTGGCATTTATATTTATCTTCACATTTAGGAAATACTCTTGCTGAAAGCTAAGTGATACTAAACCATGCAAATTCATAGTATCTTGGCCATATTTAGATTTGGGAATGCTGATATAATTAGAATTTTGCTAACATTTTTACTTTCTGACATTCAGGCAAATTTACAGAGCGAACTTTAATTTTCAGCTGAGCATATGCGAAAGGACATTCCAGAGGAAGACGTATAAAAGGAAAACACTAACCTTACCAGTATTTAGCAAATTTACTCAGGAAAAACTTCCATCATGACAATTTGTTTTACCTTGTATTGTGAAGAGTGGTGTTGCTATGTAAATCTGCTGACTCTTAGTGCCTGTGATTATTATAATTTCTGACAGTACCCCTATACTGACATCTAATGAACATGCCTTAAACACTGGGATTAAGCAGTTGTAAAATACGACCAGGACTTAGGGACTGACTTTATTCAAGATGGATTGGGATGACTAATTTTCATAAAAAAACACAAAAAAAAAAAGGGGGGAGAGGAGGTGGGAAGAAAACCAACCTAATATTGCAGATAGCTTTTGCCTCTAGTGCAGAGAGCACCTTCAGGCTTTTGGGAACCAAGGAGTATTTGAAGCTTTTTCCATTGACAATTTGTTACACTGTATATAATTGTAAATGTCACCATGGACCTTCTGAATTGTTGGAAACTTTATATAAGCATGGATAAATGGGGCACTGTTTATTTAACCTATTAAAGGGTTATTTGTTTGCTCTCATCATTTAGGGATGAGGAGATGAAGCCATTTCTTGTCCTATAGATGTGAAGCACTTTCAGTTCTGAACTGTCCAAAATGTAGCATAACATTTCGCTGTACTATACTGATGTATGTGTGTTTGTCTCACCGTGTCATGACGTCTTAAAGATTGAACAACTGACTGCTTTTGTATAAACCTTCTTAATGTCAATCATTTAGGGAATTTAGAGTGTCTGTTCATGATGTCTGTGGAGAACTCAAATTTAGTTTAGATGTCACAATAATATCCTGGTATCGACTACTAAGGCGTTTATGCTACATTGCTGTAATTAAACCATGATTTTTCCCCCTTCCCTATGAAGTGTTACATTTCATCTAATATGTGGGCTGTGAGATTAAGAAGGTAAATTGCTTTAATTTTTTGCCTTTCTTATAAATAATAATCTCTGCAATAGTTCTTATACTCTCTTGAAAGTGCTTTTTCATGGCCTTTTATAGTAGTAAATTCATGCCTGGAGACAAAATGGGAATGTTTATAGGGCTGAGAAGAAGGATCTTAACTGTTGCACTGAGGAATGTTCACTTCTTTGGTAACCTGACCTGCTCAGGTAATGTAAGAAATGGAAGAGATTGAAGATGGAATATAAAGAGAGCAAAGAAAGAAAGAAACACTAGAAACTGTATAAATTAAGTAAAATATTTTCTACATACGTGATTTATCTGAATAGACTTGAAATTTGTGATAAGTGTGCATCATAGGGGACTTTTATGTGGTTGGTGCTGCCTGAAATAGGGGAGTGGGATGATTTTTATAGTAGGAAAATGATGGATATTGCTTTATACTGGAAAATGAGATGGGTTAAGGGAAGTGGTGACAGTCATTTGTTTGAAAAGATGGTTTCAGTCTTTGCACAAGGCACTTAAAGGGATTAGTAACTGAACTTTGGTGTGTGAAATGATATGTTTATTCCAACTTAGTTTAACAAGGAGGTATACTTAGGAGGAACAGAGGACTGTAAGTATAGTGGTTTATAACTGTTATCAGAAGTCTCATTTTCCTGCTTTTCTCTGTATTCATCACTGTGCAGACAGGTATTTTCCAGAATTTGAAATCATCATTTACTTGTCACCAGAAGTATTTTGGGGATTTTCTTTTTGTGTCTTGTTGTGGTAGGTTGACTATGGCTGGCTGTCAGACCCTTACCCAGCTGCTCTCTTATTCCTTTCCCTCGGAAGGAGATGGGGGAGGGAGTAAGATGGAAAAGCTTGTGCATTGAGATAAAAGATACTAATTTCTTACCATTTAATAAGAGTTGGATGGTAAGGAACAAACAAAAACTAAGCCACCTTTCTCCTACCACAGTCCTTCTTCCGAGGCTGAACTTTACCCCTTCGTTCCTGATCCCCCTATCTTGCCCTCTTCTCCCACCCAGCAGAGCAGGGATATGGCAATGGGGTTTGTGATCTGTCTGTAACAGTTCCTGTTTCCTGCTCCCTGTTCTTCATGCTTTTCTCTGCTGTAGTGTTTATCCTCTCCGTGGCTTGCAGTCCTGGAAGGATAAATCTGTTCCAGTGTGGGTTCATTCCTGTCTACAGTTCCTGTCAGGAGCGTGCCCCTGTGTGGGCTCACTGTGGACTGCAGGTTACTTGAGTGGATCTGCTGTAGTATGGAGTTCTCCCTGGGCCGTGGGGGAAATCCTACTTTACCATGGTCTTCTCCACGGGATGTAGGGGAACCTTCTCCAGCACCTGCAGCACCTTGTTCCCCTCCTTCTCTTACCTGGGTGTTCTTGCAATTTTTCCTCACTGCTGCACTCTAAAATAAGTTTTCCTCAAGGCACTACCGTTTTGTCAAAGAGGCTTAGCTGTGTCCTGCTTGTCCAAGGGGTATCTAATTTACATCCTGTTGAAGCTGCTACACCTTGCAGGCTCATAAATTTAGATGCAGAACCTGCTGTTACCCACTTGCAGTGATCACCTTTACTTGCTGTGATACGTCATGAGAAAGGAAAGGAAGGAGCATGTAACACTGTCAGTTATAGGAATGAGAGGCTTAAAATAGTCAGGGGAGGTGTGGGTGAAATGTGTGTGTGTATCTGTATCTTGAGTCCCACAGTGCTGATGCTGAAGGGTCCCAGAAATGTGGAGTTTGCACTTTGGAGAAATGGTGAGAGGAAGTTTGAGATGAATTTGCTCTGCTAGGCATGCTTCATCATCTGGAAAAGGGATATAGGCTTGCCATATTTCACCTTGCATGCTCTGCACCTGAGCTTTCTCTTTAACTTATGTGAGTCAAATGTTATCTTGGGAGGGGAACTGAACCTGGATTCAGAACTAAATTAACCTCCTGAGCTGTCCATTAATTTAAATTTAATTTAAAGCCACTGTCCAGGTCCAAATCTAACTCTTGGGTCCTTAGGACAAAATAAAAGCTACAGTTCAGTGAGTTACTGTGAACAGTTACAACTGTGGTGTCAGTTACTTAATGGAAGGTCTTTGCAGCCCAAAATTTGTGCAGGTGCTCCCATTAGTTCCTCAACATTCTCACTGATCTCATTCCCTTTCTCTGTTGGACATGCACAGGCTCTCCTTTATGCATGGCAGAGCTCACTTCTATGGTTTTTTTTCCCTCAAGAACTGTTTTGGGTGGTCATGGATCTGTCCCATCCCCCATTTGTCTGGTTGTGCCCTGTACACTTGCAGGGATATCTGCTGTCTTTCCAGTTACCATGGCAGTGCTGAACAGCCTTGGCAAGTAAGGCCCTGTGCACATTTTGCTGTATACTCCTTGTTCTCCTCCGTGTAAGCAGTGAGTCTGATTTTAGGCTGACATTTTAGGCAGTGGACACTGACACAGTGAGAAAGCTTTTACCTGCTGCTACGCACCCATCCCAAAAGTGTGGCATTACCTATGAGACACTTGGGATATCAGACTCATAGAATATCTCGAGTTGGAAGAGACACATAAGGATTGAGTCCAACTCTCTGCTTCTTGCAGGACTACCTAAAACTAAACCACATGACTAAGAGCATTGTTCAGATGCTCCTTGAACTCTTGACAGGCTTGGTGCTGAGGGGAGCCTGTTCCAGCGATTGACCACCCACCCTCTCAGTGAAGACTGTTGTGTTTTAACCCCAGCTGGCAACTAAGTGCCATGCAGCTGCTCACTCCCTACCACCCCCACCCCATGCTGGGGAGGAGAACTGGAAAGAAAAGGTAGGCCTCGTGGGCTAAGATAAGAACAATTTAATAATTGAAACAAAATATTTTGATAATAATTATAGTGATACTAAATATTGTAATAATAGTCATAATAAAAACTGTAATTATAAAAGTGATGGACAATATAACTGCTCATCTCCAGATGCCCCAGCCTGTCCCCAAGCAGCCATTGTCCTCTTCCAGGTAACACCTCCAGTTTATAATGCTAGGCATGACATTCTGTGGTATGGAATATCCCTTTGACCAGTTTGGGTCACCTGTCCTGGCCATGCTTCCTCACAGCTTGTGCATCTGCTCACTGGCAGAGTGTGAGACAAAAGTTCCTGACAGGGTAAGCACTACTTAGCATCAACCAAAACATCAGTGTGTTATCAGCATTATTTTCATACTGAATCCAAAACACAGCACTGTACTAGCTACTAAGAGTAAAACTAACAGACTTTTTCCTAATGTCCATTCTGATGTCATACATAGGCCTGGTGAGATTCCCCAAACAATTTATTTTTTCTTAGCCAGTGTATCACTCAGACTTTGCTAGCCATCTCTTGCCAGTCAAGCAGCCTATGATAGCTGTGTGTTTGCTGTAGACATAAAGGGACAAAACAGAAATAGCATGTTTTTACGGTATTTTTCCAGCAGGGGAGTGTGTTAGCTTCTGCTTTGTCAGAAACTACTCAGTTTCCCTGAATTTGTTAGTATTTGTATTTTTGTATGCTTTTAAAACCAACTGGAGTTAGCTTTTTCTGTATTCTGGAGCTGCTTTTCAAGCTCCAGGAAATGCAGTCTATTAACCTTTTGTTCTATACAACAAAAGTAGACAGTCACAGTTGAAAGTGTTCATGTAGCATTTGACCCAGCTGTGTGCATAGGATTTGTATGGGTTTTTTTAGCATTTCCCCATGGCACGCATGACTTACCATAGCATTTGTGCATTCAGCATCACAAGGGCTCTTTCAGCACAATGCAATGTGGAGATAACACAGGATCAAGTTTATTGTGAGGCAAAACTAAGCAAGGGATTTGGCTGTGATCACTAGCTCTTTTAATCTCTGGCCTAAATCTATTGCAGACAGAATTTCAGAGGAACTGAGAAAAATCTAGTGCTACAAGACTGGTTTAATAGTTCCCACTTGAATTCTCCATTCTGAGACTGAGTGGAGAAAACACTGGGATGATGCGTGGTCCTCCATCCACTGTACTCATCACTGCCTAACAAGTAAGATTTCTGCTTAGAATTTATGTTACAGAACTGTTAACAGTCCTAAGAAGGGGAAGGAGCAATGCATTGAGGGAGCATGGTGACTATCTTGGTCTTGAAGCTAAGCATTTGAAAATAAAGGTTCAAGAAAGTGCCCCTGCCCTGGCCACCAGATCTTCAGCAAGATTTCTGCCTCAGCATCCAGACCTGGTTCCATGTATCCAAGGACTGTCTCACTGACCATCTTTATCACTTCAGTGCAAGAAATGACTTATAATTTCAATGCATTTCAATGTATTTCCTGCTAGTAGGGAAGCCCTTGATTAAAAGAAAAAGCATTCTATTATCTGGGTCTTCTGAATGGCTTCCTGCTCATTAAGAGCATCAGATTTTATCAACGTCCACCATGAAATACCTAACATGAAGAGTTCTGCCTTCTGCAAGGCTGTAGATCAGGAGCTCAGATGCACGTGTGAGAGGCACTGGTGTATGTCAGGAGGAAAAGTTATTTCTACCTAAGTCATTGTACATGCCTGTAAGGCTGGATTCATCTGCACAGCCCTGTGTGGTGTGTGCCAGGAGGATTCTTCTGGGCAGAGACTTTTAGAGGCTAGTTCAGCCACCCTGTAGAAACAAGTCATCCTTTGTGCTGCACTCCAAACTAAAAGGATGGCATCAGCTGGTTTGCATGCAGGTAAATTAGGCAGCCTTATGCAAAGGTGCACTATGAGGGAGGACATGATGAAGGAAACAGGGAGCTATGACATGGGGCCAAGTTCTGAGGTGAGAAAACCACAGTGAAAACGCTCTTTTGTCACTATACTGATAGGGGAAGTACTGACATGCTCCTTCAGCAAGGCAGTGTGTCCTGTGTGCTGTGCACACTGCGAGGAACAGTAGTGTGAAAACTTGAGTGGGAAGTGACAGACAAGTTGT